TTGGTGCCATTTTTTTGGAGTATTTCAACTTGGTATACATCAATACAACCTTAGATTCTAAATTTTAATAATATAAATATAAAATGTTCATAGCAACTAAATATTTCACTAAAAAATGCTATTATCCATACACAAATTGAAAATCGTTTTTTGTTTTTACACATATTTTTCATTATATAGAAATGCCACACCTTTATCCCTCAAAATTGTCAATGGCAAAAAGTTTCACACAATCCTTTCAAACAACAACAAATTTGTTTGAAGTGCTTTTATAAATTAGTTTCTGAGATACACTCATTTAAATAAACTATTTGTAGCTAATTTTTCAGGAGTATAAAGTTTTCCTAATCTCTCACTAATAATAATAACAATATTAAAGATTATTGCATTAATATATACGTGAGGAAACAGAAACTGAAACTTAATCACCCAGTGCTGTAATGGCGTCAACTGCTTCGAGGAGGGAGGATGCACCATTTGGTAGGTCCATCATATGTCTAAACGTTTGTAATGGTGTGCGTGTGTTGGGAGTTTGTAGTAGGTGTGTGATGTGTGTAGGATGTGTTTGTCTAAATGTATTATTGCAAAAAAGCACAACGCTCTGGGACATGTTTAGCATGGGAGATATTAGTGTAAATCCTCCGGTTTAATATGCAAAAAATAAATAAATTATATAATTTCAATTCTACAAGCATTTGAACACAGATATGCAAATGGGAGCGCCGGCGCTCCTGCCGGTCTCAAAGGGCTAAGATATTCAGTGGTACTGGAAATGCTTAAACATTTAATTTTTACTACTAAATTGGAATGGTGACATATCTATTATGTACAGATTAGCAGTAATATGTTTTAAATAATTTTTGAAAATAGACATGGTTGCAAATTAAATGCTACAGTGGCTTGCTATATACCTGCACACTGCATGGAGCAGACTTGAAGCAGCAACCTGACTGGCGGTTCTGCTGCATAGCACTGCTGACAGCTAAGAATAAACAGCGCTTGTGTGTGTGTGTGTGTGTGTGTGTGTGTGTGTGTGTGTGTGTGTGTGTGTATATATATATATATATATATTTATATATAGTAATGATGGGTAGTTTACATCTTACTTGTGAACCATAAAATGTGAGATTCCATAGAAATATGAAATATCAGTCTGATAGATCTTTGAATATTTTAACCAGAAGATCAGAACTTTTTATTGCAGTGATTACTGGACACTTTCTATTAACTCAGATAAAAGAGAGAGAGTCAGGTTTATAATAGTTAAGAAATTTATTTCTACACACTTTAAACAAGTCTAACTGTAAACACTCTGTGTACTGATGAAACTAGGTGGAATTAATCAATTAATCTAGGTGGAGTTAATCAATTTCCCTCTGGGATTAATAAAGTATTTTTGAATTGAGTTGAATGAGACGTGAGATGAATGGTGTATGTGTGGAATGTTGTTTTCAGAACTCTCGTATCCGGAGAAGCAATTAGTTCTGAGTGGGAGCGAATGTTTTGCTCTAAACTACGGTTGGTGATTTATAAAACACATTAAACGCCATCTGTCGGTCTACGTACCCACAGGCGAAGCCTCCGTTCAGATCCAGAATGTCGAGGTCCGTGGACCTTCCTTGGTACCGAAGCCGTTAGAGAGAGCAGCAGTGCCAACCAGACTAGTCTTGGAATTCTTCCAGGTCACGACAGGTTATTATTGGCGTCAGCGAGACCCTGAAGGGGTCGTGAGGTTCAGCTTTTATTCTGAAGGAACCGCTGCGGTCAGGTGTAATGTGCAACAGATTTTATCCAGCTTGTCAAGGTTCTTGTGGTTGTAAAGGTTCCGGATGGCCTGTCCAAAACTTCTCTAGAACGCTTTGAACTGAAGTAAAGGTGACGTGGGGATAGTTTTTATAAATGTCATATTTTGGTTTACTGGCGAATCAGAATTTGACATGCAAAAGAGGGCTTATACAGACACCACAGAAAACCATGCCTTACATCAGAAATGTAGGTTCTGATTGTATCAGACAAAAGGAAATGTGAAATGTGACTTAACATAACTCTATGTCAATGTGTCTAGTGCAGCTGTCCAAAATTATAATTAAGTACTACTATTATGTCCCCGGCTCTCTAGGAGAGATGAGGAGGGGAGTAGTAAAATTAGTGTGTGGGATAAATAATAACAGAGTGCTATGTCGCTAAAAAACAAGGGATTTATTACAAAATGAATGGAATATTTACAAAGAATCCAAAAAACAATGCTATATACAAAACAAAAGGAGCTATATTTAAAAAGGGAGAAACTGAAAACGCCACCCCAGAAGGGGGTGGGAAGGAAACCGAGAATAATAAATATATATATTCAAAAGGGGAGATCCGTGGTCAGGGTCTAAAGCCGGTCCGAAGTCTATACGCCAAATGGTCTAATCCGAAATCCTATTGAGAGCAAATCGAAGACTAGCGAGTGAACCGAGTTGTACCAAAAGCAAACCGAGGAGAAGAGAATAGTATAAACTGTTCCCAGTCTACACTACCCTTGACCTTCTCCTCGAACTGGTGGCTGGGAGCAGCTCTTAACTGCTGCCAGGTGATCATCAATGATTTGGAACAGCTGGGCACCGGGAGACGGGCGAGACAAAGGCCACTGAGGCCATCTTGTGGCCGAAAAGGGACACGGCACGAAACAACTACTGATCACAGGATTATAATATCAAGTAATACATTGTCATTTCACAAAATGATTGAATATCTGATTCACATTATAATTTGCAATAACTAACGTTGTTTGATTTTGTATTCATCAAAAGAGTTCTCCGTCTAGTCTTGAGCTGTAAGGAGGTGAAGCAGTTTAGATGAGCAGAGGACCTGAAAGGCCTTGGGCCAATATCTCATGTAGATTAGGCCTCCCGACGGAGACATCACGTCTCCGCTTGAGCAGACAGCAGAGCATGACCTTTCAGGCCAAAAACAGGACATTTTGTGACGCTACTATATATATATATATATATATATATATATATATATATATATATATATATATATATATATATATTAGGGCTGGGATTTGATTAAAAATTTTTAATCTAATTAATTACAGGCTTTGTAATTAATTAATCTAAATTAATCGCATTTTAATCGTTCAGGAAAATGTGCTCTCAAAGTAAAACTTTTAATTAAAATTATGAGACAGAGAATCAAACATTAGACATGGTTATTACTGTAAACTAAAGCTTCTAATAATAAAATGCATTTTAATTATTCAAATGTCACTGTGTGATATGAAACAAAACCCAAATCAACTAGAATTTATAATTACAAATAGAAAACACCTGCAAAGGGTTCCTGAGCCTTTAAATAGTCTCTCTGTCTAGTTGAATTACTGAAATAAGTTTGACTTTGCACCAGATTCTAATTTTTCCAGTTTCACTTGTTTGTATAATTGGGAGTTTTTATTAGCATTTCTACTCATAATGTAATAAAAACACATAAATAATAATCCTTCAAAATGACAGTAGAACATGAACAAATATGATCTAGGACTTAAATGTACTAACTTTTAACACCAGAGCAGGCATGGCATATTCTGAGAATGATCAGGAACACTAACTGGTTCCAGTTGGATGACTGGAGGTTGATGGGATGATAAAAGATCACGGCGAGGAAATAATGATCTGACGAACAGGTGAGCGGACCTTCCTTACATGGGAAGTCCTGCTGTCACGTTAAGAAGGGGATGCTGCACACCCACAGATTCAGGCCTGCTGCAGCGAATCTGGTGTGATCTCCAGCCTGATCACAACTTCCTCGTTCCTCGCTGCCCCTGATTCACTTAAGCATCCACCCCTTAGCTGATGACAGCTTCAACACACCTCGCTGCTTAATGATAGTAATGCATGTGATGTTTAGACAGTGACTCGTCTCAGAAACGTATAATTCCTCGACAGAATTGTTTAGAAAATCATCAGAAAAGTTTCAGAGTGTTTCTGTTTTAACTTAAACTTCTGTTATCAACTTTAAGACATGTCTGTGATCAGAGTAGTGAGGACACGGAGCGTTCTCCCAGCGGCAGCCAAGTGCCTCTCGTTTGTCTTACTACTTTCATAAACTACTGTTAGGGCACAGAATTATTCTGTCTGGTGCTTTCAGTGCTGCACAGATGTTATGTAAATGTTAAAAATATAGCTTACCGCAACTTTCGTCAAGTTTCCCGTGCCACCGGGCAGCCGCAGCAGAGACGATCTCTGAAAAATTTCCGCGACACGGACTCCGTTGTTGTCTGGAAGTTTTTTTATCCAAGTTAAGAAAAGAGGCGGACGTGTTTCCTAAATCCTGCATCAGTCCAAGCAAGGCAACTTCTTTCTGTTTTTATTCCGTTTTAGTAGCCATTAGCACTGTGCATTGTTGTGTGCGTCAGTGATATTCAGTCTATGAGGAAATCGTGCAATGACAAAGGTTCCGCCGTGCTTGAAATGCAAGCTGCGATTAAATGCGTTAATTTTTTTTACGCGTTATTTTGTTCTAATTAATTAATCGTAATTAACGCGTTAAAGTCCCGGCCCTAATATATATATATATATATATATATATATATATATATATATATATATACATACCTTCTCATTCAATATGTTTTCTTTATTTTCATGACCACTTACAAAGGGGCCAACAAGTGCTAAACACCTCTGGGAACTCCTTTAAGACATTTTTCAGGTGACTCCCTCTTGAAGATCATCAAGAGAATGCCAAGAGTGTGCAAAGCAGTAATCAGAGCAAAGGGTGACTATTTTGAAGAAAATAGAATATAAAACATATTTTCAGTTATTTCACCGTTTTGGTTAAGTACATAACTCCACATGTATTCATTCATAATTTTAATGCCTTCATTTAGAATCGCCTGATATAAATGGTCATGAAAATAAAGAAAACACGTTGAATGAGAAGCTTTGTCCAAACACGAGAGATTTTTTTTTTATTCACATTAATCTACATTTTGTTTTGTCTTTTATCCTGTCCAGAACTTCCACAGCATCATGTCTGGGAAAACAAGATGACTCTGACTGACCAGCAGCTCTCTAAACAGAAATGGACCTCCAGTTTGGACCAGAAGGAACCAGAACCTCCACTGATGAAAGAGGAACAACAAGAACTCCTTATCCATCAGCATGAAGGGCAGTTTCTTCTGAAGCAGGAAGTTGTTACCTTCATGGAGCCTTCTCCTTCTGAAGAAACAGACTGTCATGAACCAGAACCAAACAAGAACCAACCCTTGTGTCAGAGTACTACAGAAGCTGAGAACCAAGATCAGGGTGGATGCAGGAAAGAAAACTCAGAATCAAACAGCAATGAAGAACTGACACGTAATAAAATATGCCAATCCAAAGATCACAGAGACAGTGTAGATGATAAAAAACAAAAAAGGCACAAGAGGGCTCACACAGGTGAGAAGCCATATCCATGTAAAACTTGTGGTAAATGTTTTAATGTCAGTAGTTCCTTGACTAAACACATGAGAATTCACACAGGTGAGAAGCCATATCCATGTGAAACTTGTGGTAAATGTTTTAATGTCAGTAGTTCCTTGACTAAACACATGAGAATTCACACAGGTCAGAAGCCATATCCATGTGAAACTTGTGGTAAATGTTTTAATGTCAGTAGTTCCTTGACTAAACACATGAGAACTCACACAGGTGAGAAGCCATTTTCATGTAAAACTTGTGGTAAATGTTTTAGTGACAGTAGTTCCTTGACTAAACACATGAGAACTCACACAGGTGAGAAGCCATTTTCATGTAAAACTTGTGGTAAATGTTTTAGTGGCAGTGGTTCCTTGACTAAACACATGAGAATTCACACAGGTGAGAAGCCATATCCATGTAAAATTTGTAGTAAATGTTTTAGTGACAGTAGTCCCTTGAATACACACATGAGAACTCACACAGGTGAGAAGCCATTTCATTGTAAAAGTTGTGGTAAATGTTTCTCACAGAGTGCTGCTTTGATTTATCACATGAGAATTCACACAGGTGAGAAGCCATATCCATGTAAAACTTGTGGTAAATGTTTTATTGACAGTAGTTCCTTGACTACACACATGAGAACTCACACAGGTGAGAAGCCATTTCATTGTAAAAGTTGTGGTAAATGTTTCTCGCAGAGTGCTGCTTTGATTTATCACATGAGAACTCACACAGGTGAGAAGCCATATCCATGTAAAACTTGTGGTAAATGTTTTAGTGGCAGTAGTTCCTTGACTACACACATGAGAACTCACACAGGTGAGAAGCCATATTCATGTAAAACTTGTGGTAAATGTTTTAGACTCAGTGGTCACTTTACTACACACATGAGAACTCACATTAGGGCTGCACGATATTAGGAAAACCTGCGATATTCGATAACAGTGCTTAATATTGTGATATCGATATTACTCACGATAAATGAACAAATACTAAAGTATGCAGTGTTGATGTCGTCTGGTGTGTGACGGCTGCTCTGGGTTTAAAGCAAACAAAAACTAATGCATGAATTCCATTACAACATAACATTTTTTGTGCAAAAATATGCAGCTGCACCTGCTACTGTATTAGCAGCAAAACAACAAACTGCATGCATGCAGTTTCTCAGTGACTTAAAAACATCACCACCACCATAAAACTTTTTCTGATGCTCCAAATACAGAAAAACATCCCTTACCAGGGTTTTTGAGTAAATAAAAAAAAATAATCAGAAAATAAGTTTAAATGTTAAATAATAGTTAACATCACTTAAATGCAACAGCAAATTCTCTCATTGCTACTGAACATTTTCTCCACTTATGTGGTTATGATAAAAGGCTGTTGCTGTAATTGGGAAGTGATCTGTGCTGGGCCAAACTAGGAGAATATTAAGATTTTCTGAGGGAAAGAGAAAAACAATTGTCTACCTGTCAGAAGAGGAACTGGCAAAAAAACTGCATGGAAAATATGTGAAAACGTTTGTTTTTGACCCCAAATTGAACAAGTTTACCTAGATCTTAAAAAGCAGCTCAGATGATGAAACTGCAACTATGATTCTGATAACAAGCTAACAAATTGAGCTAGCTCCTCTAAGATAACCGGCTAGCAGAGCTTCTGACTGACAGTTTATGTGCAGCCAGTGCTGGACTGACCATAGGGCATAGCGGGCAACTGCAAATCGTTTTGGCGGGTACTGTTAAAATATTACTAGCCAGTTTGGCCGGTGATTCGGAGGCAACCAAGCAATTCATGTCAGAGACGCTCTGGGTCGTTTGCCCCCTCCTCCCCTCCTCGAAGACGAGTCACGACTGTGAGGGATTTATCTCCTCACTAATAGTTATTCCTCTTGTTTGTTTACTCCTGTATTTTTGTGTGTTTTAGGTCAAATATGCTTGGTAATCTATAAATTACTTTAAGTTAAGTTGATCTATTGGTGTTCATCACTCCCTTCTTTCTGAGGTCATTTGTTTAAGTGTTGCCATGGAAGCGCGCCCATAGGCAGCCATGATCAGTTCCTGGTGTGCTTAATCAGCTCTACTGAGGGAGAAACTAACTGACTGAAGAGAGGGGGGGTTATCTTGTGTTTGTTTAAGTGTAGTTGTTCTTGTTTTTGTTCTTTTGAGTTAAGGTAGTAGGTAAATATGTAAATAGATTGTTTGACATATTTTGTTGAGGTGTTGAGATGTACTTTATTGATTGCAGGATTTGAAGCTAATGTTTCCCCTGCCCATGTCATAATGGCTGGTTCCAAGTTAGCTTTAAAAAGGGTGGATTCGGTACTGTTGTGGTTGATTGCTAGCCTAGTGAACTAGACCAAATTCTTGCTTTGCAAAGTTTGGTCTACGTGGCTTTCCAGGCTAGTTGATTGCTTGTTAAGGGGAATCCATGCCCCAATGTCATGGATTGTTTGCATTAAAAAAAAAGGATAAAAAGTCAGAGCTCAGCAACATCCTGGACTCTTGCTTTTTCTTCTGTTGACAAACAGCTGGTAACATCCTGAGTGAGTAACAAGGCAGAGGCTCTGTCTGGGCCAAAACCTTACAACGACACTACCGTAAACCGTGTGCTATTTGTGACGTTTTAGATGCCTATTGGCTGCAACGCACAGGCACGCTTCTGTCTGCTGTGCAATTTGGTCCAATCAACGATGAGAGCGCGACACCAGAAACGCCTGAAAACACAAGCAAAAAATACGTGATGAAGAGCGAAGACAAAGAAAAATCAGAGCTGGACGGCGAAGTTGGATGAAATGCTGCGGTGGTTAAGCCGGGCGTACACTGTGCGACTTTTTCACTCGTAGCACTCAGCTTCAGCTCAAACTGTACGACTTCCTCGCCGAGCAGATCTCACGAGTCGTGCTCACACTGCACGACCCAGTTCTCGCATGTGACCTGACTGCTCACACTGTACGAGTGGCATGAACTACCGCAGCTAAAAATTAGCCAGTAGATGTTGGAATTACAAACACGAAGAAGAAAACCCCGGAAGTAAAAACGAGGGAAAACCAGTTCGGTTCCGAGCAGAAAAGCGCTTGCTTGCTCGCTGTTAACCGCAATAATGCTCGTGAAAACAAGACGTTTGTCTTTGGCTCTTCTTGCCATCATGTGTGTCGATGAAAAGAAAAAGAGAAGACGAATGTGGACAAAGAAATGGCTGGGCAGATGTTGCCAGTATGGTTTGTCAAATCTACAGCGGGAGTTGGAGGTAAGATGTTTGAAATAACCTTTTCTTTATGTAACTACAATTGTATCTATTGACTTAAATTACATTTTGACCAGCTGATGGACTTTGGGGTGGTGGGTGGAGTGACAACCGCCATTTGTAATGCTGTTGCAATGATGTGTGAAATAGAGCGATGATATGAAGGGGTTTCGGGACCTTCTCCGCATGTCTGTGGAAGAATTCAACGACCTTCTGGAGAGAGTGGCCCCTCAAATCATCACACACACCTGAGACACACACCTGAGGAAGGCGATCAGTCCTAGGGAGAGGCTCTCTGTGACACTGAGATTCCTTGCAACAGGCAAGAATATATACACACACACACACATCCAAATCAAGTTTACACATTATGAAACACTTTCTTAATCTTTACAGGTGAGACCTTCAATTCCTTATCTTTCCAGTTCAGGATTGGGAGCACCACACTGAGCCGCATTGTGATGGAAACCTGTGCAGCCATAACTCTAGTATTACGTGACGATTACCTAAAGGTAATTTTTTCCCTGCCCTAAAACAGCGCATCCACCCATCACGCTGTGCAGAAGCAATTTATTCACCTGCTGATGTAAATCTGGTGTGTTTGATCAGTAAAAACTGTAAAACATGCTTGATAAGGACCCTCGAGTAACAGAGTGGCATGTGGCACATCACAGATTCATGCACATACAGTTGGAATGTAAAAATTGTTATTGAAGTGGGTTTACATTCTGAGGATTATGAACCTGTTGAGTGATAGTCAAATGTGATGCATTGCACCAGATTTAGCTAGAAGCTAATTTGCAAGTGCAGTCCTGATTAAACCTGAGACTAATATAATGTATCACCATGTACTTCTTCCACAGACACCATCAGCTGAGACTGAGTGGAAGGTCATCGCTAAAGACTTTGAAGACAAGTGGCATTTTCCACATTGCATAGGGGCCATAGATGGGAAACACATCTTCATTCAACCCCCTGCCAACAGTGGAAGCACGTTTTATAATTACAAGTCAAGGTTTTCCATCATACTTATGGCTGTAGTTGACGCAAATTATAGATTTGTATATGCAAGTGCAGGGACACAAGGAAGGGCATCTGATGCTGGAGTGTTTGCCCATTCTGATCTCAGAGAGGCTATGGACAAAGGCACTCTGAATGTCCCTCCTGATGCAACCCTGCTAGGCACTGACTCCACAATACCATATGTGCTCATTGGTGACGAAGCATATCCCCTTAGGCCAGATCTGATGAAACCATATCCATCACGAAACCTCAACCATGATCAAAGGATTTTCAACTACAGGCTTTCCAGAGCACGCCGTGTTGTTGAGAACGCATTTGGAATTCTGGCCAATCGCTTTCGCGTTTTCAGAACCACAATTTGCCTGCATCCAGACAAAGTTGTTGCAATTGTTTTTGCAACACTTTGTCTCCACAACTTCCTCCGACAACAGAGATCAGATGCCTACACACCACCTGGCTATGTGGATTCTGAAGATGCAAACCATCAGCTGGTCAGTGGCACATGGCGAAGTGAGGGAGCCCTTCAGTCAGTTTCGGCAAGCAGAGCTAGGAACCCCACAGTGGATGCTAAGAAACAACGTGATGTGTTAGCCCCAGGGGCCTCGGACTGGGGGGGGGGGGGGGGGGGGGGGGGGAGGGTACTGTTTACCCAGGGCCCACTGCAGGGAGGGGCCCTGAGACAGCTTTGAATAAAAATGTTTTAGTGTTGTTGTTTTTCCCCCCAACTTACTTAATGTCTTAATAAACTTCCCTTTACCTGGATAAAGAGGTTAAGAAACAGAATTTCGCCTTAAAATAATAACTGAATAATCTCTGAGGCATCTATCACCCCTTAAAAATGTGCAAAGTGGTTTAGTCCACACCAGCGGCCAGGGGTTGCACGGCCGCATGTACAGCTATGAGATATCGCAGATGCCGACAGCCAGAGCTGGAGGCAGGAGAGTCAGTCATGTCTTTTCCCAAGAAAGGGAAATCTGGCTTCCAGAAAAGAAAATAAAAGAAAAGAAGGAGAAGGAGGAAAAGTTTTTGAACAGAAGCAAGTAGAAGGATGGTGAGCAGCAGTAGCAGAACACAGTTTTAGCTGATAATAGCTAGCTCTCAGAAGCTGCATTCATGTTAGGTGTTCAGTGTTAAACGCCTTTAGTTTGACCGTCAAGATCAAATATAAATTAATTAGTGTTATCAGTGAAAACACTAATTAATATATATATATTAGTCAGAATTATTATCGCGGGCGGCCGCCGCCAATTAATTCGCGGACCTCGCAGTAAAAACAGGTTCACTCTGTGTGGCTATCAGCTCCTTCCCAGTCATGGAGCAGGACAAACTTGGTATCGATGGATTCGTGGTAATCTCAGGAACGTGAAGCTGCCACTGTTGTTCGTATAGCATGATGACACTGGTGTTAGAGGATTGTTATTGACTTGGTTAGATATTTTAAGCCTATTTTAAATTTCTTTATATTTGATCTTGAAAACGGACAATCTTATAATTTGGCTGATAATGCAGGGATTATAAAATTTAGAGTACATTACATTCACAGAGAGAACCTGGTTTATTTCATGTCATATGTATTTAATATATCAATACATATCAGCAAAGCTTAACATCATGAACCATGACGGACATGACTGAAGAGCAGATGAAGATATCATGCCAGGCACTGATGAGAAAATATTACAAGGATCTCACAGCTGAATTTGAGAATGAGATGCTACACCTGAGAACAATATATGATGCCACATTTCCACACATTCGGTCTCCTCTTGAGCTGCTTAATGCTATACAGCAGGGATTCCCAAAATGTGGTGCGCGCACCCCCAGGGGTGCGCGAGCTGCCGCTAGGGGGTGCAGGAGGTGAAAAGTGTAATGGCTGCGGAGCTCAGAGAAGTCTGTCATATGTCACCATTAGCGTAGCCAGAAACTCATTTGTGGGTGGACCTAAGAAAAAGTAAGTGGGCACAATAAATGTAATTGAAAACAAGTATATTTTTGCGCGTGTGTCCTCCACATGTGCCCTAGCTTCATAATAACAATGCGCAGAGCTTCAGCACTCTGACCTGCGCACGCCGATATGTTCCGTATTTGATCATTTTTAACGGTGTTGGAGAAATCTGAAGGTGGCGAGTCATTCTGGCAGATTGTAATTTACACCCTGTCTCATGCAGGCGTTCTGACATTGTAAACCTCACACACAGAACATTGTGGATGTAACTAAATAACAAGAAATGATTCCCATTCAGGCTATTAACTGCGCGCTGAAGATCTGAAGTTCTGAGTGCGTCTGTCAGAGGTCAGACGCGTTCCAGCTGAACCACGGCTCACGGGTGCACATGTGAGCACATCTGGGCTGGGCAGAAGTAATTTTACAACATTGGTTTAAATAGCGCCAATAACGAGACGCGGTGACTTGAGCGGCTGTGCCGCACGCGCGTGCGCGCGCACACACACACAGATTCAATAAGCGCGCACGCTGCTTTAACTCCGGCGCGCCGTCAGACTGAAGGCAGAAATGAACGCTGCCTCCACCGTGATAAAAACTTTTAAGAGGTTATTTTTCATTCAAGGTCAAATTAAGATATTAGCTTCTGGGATGAGTCGGGTCCGCTCCAGCCAGTGACTCCTCATGAACCTGACCACAAGTCCTGTTACTGCAGCATGTGTTATTCCAGTCAGCGTGGCAGCGGATCACAGATTCAGCCACACCATAAAACAGCAATAAGTCGGTCTGAGGTAAAAGTGAACCTCATGGCTATATCTTGTCCCCTATTGACATTTGATTACGCACAAGTAGGTGATCAGCTCGGGTTTAAGCAGAGCAGAAGGAAGGAGAGCGCTCTGGCCGCACAGGTTAAACGTTCCTACTTTAAGAAAACCGTTAAATTGCATTGTTTATGTGCTACCTGGGCACTCTAAATAATTATTTAAAATCAAATCAAAGGAAATTGTATTGGTATCGAATGTTTATTAATTACTATTTAAAAAATGAAAGTGATGGGGAATTTTTTTTAACCCTGTCTGTTTAGCTTGACATCTGATATATATATATATATAGAGCCATGCCCTGATGTGGGGGGAGGGGGGGGTGCGTCGACATGGTCGGGACATAGAAGGGGGTGCGCGGCTAAATACGTTTGGGAACCACTGCTATACAGGATGCAATTACAGAGCATTTTTGGAGAAGTTTGTATTGGACTGAGGATATTTTGCACACTACCTGTGACTGTTGCTGGGGGTGAACGGGCTTTTAGCAAACTGAAACTGGTGAAAAATTATTTGAGATCAACAATGTCCCAGGATAGACTGAACAGCCTAGCTCTTCTGTCAATTGAAAGCCAATTAGCCAAAGGATTGGACTTTAAAGATCTCATAAGTGATTTTGCTAACATGAAGACCCGTCAGTGGGCATTTACTGGAAAATAATTTCCAGGATTTTTGTTTGAACACGTTGTTGGCAAATAAAAATAATTATATGTGAAGTCTGGGCATTTCACTTTTATTATGCTGGCATTTGTATTTGCTCAATATAGAGGTTAAACTAAGATCATATTTATTATCTTGTCTTATAGCATGACAAAAAATGTTTAAGAGAGATATTAAGTAATTGAGCATGGGGGCCCACCTAGAAGACTTGTACCTAGGGCCCAGAATTTGGTGCTACGCCCCTGGTTAGCCCAGTACTTTGTCTCACCTGCAGGAAGAATTTCCTGGCAGGAAAACATGGTGTAGCTTCATATGCGTTAAACTTCTGTAAATAAAGCGAGAGCATTGGTTCCACTCAGTCATTAGCTCAGATGGTGTTCCTGTCTGGCTGTTAACTTTCTCTGAACAAGAACAAGACATTGATTATGTGTACGGAACTGCATTTAAAGGCTGATTTCAACTCTTAGGGTGGATTCTTTTGAAAATTCATAATGTGTGGGAGTGGAGTGATGCATTTTCTTATGTTTGTAACATTTGTGAACAATAGAGCTCCGGGAGTTGACGTCACTTCTCCCGGCATGCAACAGTTCAAATCGAAACGGCGCCATTTGGCACAAGAGCATCTGGCTGCAGACATCAGCTGGCGTCTTTGCCGTGACAGGAAATGACGTACCCGGAAAAACAAGACATCGGGTCATTACCTTCGCCGGAAGTCATTACCTTTGCCGGAAGTAGTTCGGATTTGTCGAGAAAAACCATACTGTGTCTTTTCTCTTCGAAATGCACATATTTAAGAGAAAAATTACACGGTGGGTCATTACCCTGACCAGAAGTCATTACTTTCACTGGAAGTAGTTTTTTTAAAACAAAACTTACCGGAAAAAGCTTTTTATTTCGGATTTTGTTTTCTCTTTAGATCTGGACTGGCAAACTTAAATAACGTTGTTACCTACATTGCATGACAATTGAATATTAAATCCCTTTGTCCTTCAGACAGGGAATTTTTATGACAGTAGCACATACATGTGTGTGTGTATATATATATATATATATATATATATTGTACATATATATATACATATACGTATATATATGTACAATATATACATATATGTATATATATTGTACATATATATACATATATGTATATATACACACAACAATAAAAGGCTGTAAAGTGAATTAAAAAAACATATATGGAAAAAATGAGAACACATTAAACTAAGACTTTTCAAAATGTGCAAACAAAATACTACTTGCTAAATATTCAGTTTTATTGTTAAGCCCAAGATGAACTTTTGACCTACACCAGTTGCTAAAGTACAGGACTCCCAGAAGCAGTGAAAAACATTTCAGCAACACTCCTCTCTCACCAGCAACAAAAAGTTACTAAATATCCATAACACTGTCCTATTGTGTATCACAGCAGCTCATTGCAACAGAATTTAACTACTACAGCTGATAACTATTTAGCTAGTTGGTATTTATTTTGAGTAAAAGACAATAAAACCAAAGAAACACTTAATTTCACAACCATTTTATTTTGGGTACAAATGAATTTGCTGAAGCATGGCTTTCTTAGCTGCATATCGATTCATCCCCTCCCATTTTTCCAACACTTTTATTGTTACCTGAAAAACATGCAGGATTACTTCATCGTCGTCGTCTTCCTCCGCTTATCCGGGTCTGGGTCATGGGGGCAGATCCCAACTAGGGAGCTCCAGACCGTCCTCTCCCCGGCCACCTCCACCAGCTCCTCCGGCAGGACCCCAAGGCGTTCCCGGACCAGATTGGAGATGTAACCTCTCCAACGTGTCCTGGGTCGACCCGGGGGCCTCCTGCCGGCAGGACCTGCCCGAAACACCTCCCCAGGGAGGCGTCCAGGAGGCATCCTGACCAGATGCCCAAACCACCTCAACTGACTCCTTTCGATCCGGAGGAGCAGCGGTTCTACTCCGAGTCCCTCCCGAATGTCCGAGCTCCTCACCCTATCTCTAAGGCTGAGCCTGGCCACCCTACGGAGGAAACTTATTTTGGCCGCTTGTATCCGCGATCTCGTTCTTTCGGTCTTTACCCAAAGCTCATGACCATAGGTGAGGATTGGGACATAGATCGACCGGTAAATCGAGAGCCTGGCTTTGTGGCTCAGCTCCCTCTTCACCACGACAGATCGGCTCAGCGCCCGCATCACTGCAGACGCTGAACCAATCCGCCTGTCGATCTCCCGATCCCTCCTACTCTCACTCGTGAACAAGACCCCGAGATACTTAAACTCCTCCACTTGAGGTAGGACCTCTCCCCCGATCCGGAGTTGGCAAGCCACCCTTTTCCAGTCGAGAACCATGGTCTCAGATTTGGAGGTGCTGATCCTCATCCCAGCCACTTCACACCCAGCCGCAAACCTACCCAGCAAGAGCTGAAGGGAGCAAGAGCTGAAGGTCAGAGCTGGATGAAGCTAGGAGGACCACATCATCCGCAAAAAGCAGAGAAGAGATTCTCCTGCCACCAAACTCTGTTAAGGATTACTTCATACACTGTCAAATGTTTTCGAAAAGTAACTTTTATACCAATCACTGCTGAAGACAGCGTTGTACCTCTGGAACAAGGACATCAAACACCAAGTCCAGAAACTGGAACTCTCCCTTCTTTATTAGTTTATCTATTCCAGAGCATGAACCAATCCGCTCTGTCAGGTCGTCAACCTATAAAACACGTTAACATAAAAATGAACAAAACATTCCTCTCAGCATTAGATAACGGACCCATGTGGTCCACTGGCCACGCATCGAGATAAATAAATGTGATGCAGCCTATTGTAAGTCAGTATACATTTACCTGTGCATCAGCAAAGTGGAACATCAGTGGCTTTAGTCTTTGCTTTAATTTAAGCGAGACACCTGGATTGTGCCACAGATGCATGCGGCCAGACTTCACTCCACCGCTGCAGAGATCCTTATACAAAGTCTGAGTAAAGACAAGTTAAAAATAAGCAACATTACCACAGAAAACAAGGGATTGCATTATCCTATGTCCAATTTTAGAGTCTTAATTTATTATAACTAAACATTACCTTGATTTCACCATCTGAAATCACTGCTTGGGTTCCACTTTTCAAAGCCTCGATTGTCCTGTAATTTAGATAAAAATACATATTAGTAAATGAAGAATACAAGCACATGTAAGGAGTTTTGTCAGTGTCACTTGAAGTCCGATATTCATTTTAGATCTATATTCAAGAACTCTAACTCCTGAATGATTTGCAGCTAAATGTGCTTAAATCCGGTAATATTAACATAAACCATACCCGATCAAAGCAGTCAGTGGACAAAAATATCTATTTTTTATAAGGTTAGGATTATTCGGAAACAGAATCAGAAGGAGGGCGGCATTAATTAGAGAAGCGGCTACTATTTCAACGTTATGGGCCATTCCCATCTGTACCGGGTTGGCCCGGGCCGGGTAGCCCCAGTCGGCCCCAGCCTGGCCCGGTTGATTCCACACATCCTTGCCTTAAGCCCATGTGGGCTGATTCTACCCACCAATCAGAGGCTTGCTCTAATGGAAGGTGTGAATTTGCTGTCAGCAGTGGGTGTGTTGGCCCTGGTTGGCCTGAAGTAGACCCCCTCGAGAAGAGGGCTGAGAATGAGCCTTGGTTGGCCCGGAAAAATACCAGGCCACCCAGATATGTAAACAACCTACGCTACCCGGCCTGGGCCGACCCAGTACAGGTGGGAATGGCCCATGAGTGTACTTGTATTGGAACCAGTTTAGGTTCATGTTTTCTTCCTGGCCAGTAGGGGGCACAGGTTTGAACAGTTGCTATGTTGAGCCAGTGTGTAGAAGAAGTGTGTCAGTAAGTTTCCCATATGCAAGAAGCAAAAACATCTGTTCAGCAATCTGAAGCCATCCGCTCTATTTCATCCCTTTGAATGGAAATATGAGTGAGTTTTTCTCTGTATATTAAGTTTACACAGGATTTAAGATATTATTGGGAATGAGTTGAGTTACTTAGCATGTTTTATAGATTGAGGATCTGATAGGAAGCAATGTTAACATGCTGTTGAGATGAATCCTTTAGTGCACATATGCTAAGGATGTTTGTTTAAATTGATCATCTGTGTTGTACACTAAGATTATTTTTCTGTATTTTGTATCATTTCAGTTTCACACTTTGTTGCATTAAATTCCGTCCAAATACAACACGTGCCTGTTCATTGGAGGAGAGCGATGCAAGAAAGAGTTTAGCTGGCTGTGAATCTCAATATAGGACACGGGGTCACATTGGGTGCAACAGTACAGTGAAATCATACCATTCGGCGAGGGATTCGAGTGGTGTTCTATTTAGCTATGGAGAAAGGAGACTCAGAAGGTCAAAATGAGGAAACACAGTCAAATCATTCCAGAAGGTCTTCAAAATCCTCAGGAAGACTGACTGTTAGATCATCAGCAGCATGTTCAAGCCGGTCATCAGCCTCGAGCCGAGCCAGCATGGCAGTGGCGCGGGCACAAGCAGAAGCACAGGCAGCCAAGGCCAGGTTAGCCTACGCTGAAAAGGAGATGAGCATTAAAGTAGAAAAGGCTCGTCTAGAAGCAACTCTCGATGTGATAAACCTGCAAAAGGAAGCTGATGCAGCCATGGCCAAAGCTGAGGTAATGGAGTCAGCAGTGGCTCAATTTGACAAAGCAGATTCAAAGGAAGAGCTGTCATTTTTACCTTTACAAGCAACCACAGAACAAAAGGTGAGTGAGTACATCAACAAAAACAATTACACCGATCTGGCTCAAGGAAACGCATCGCAACATGATGACAGAAAACATCAGACTGAACAATCCAATCAACCATTAATCTACTCACCTCTTTGCCCCAAACATGAACCAGTGCAATGCCGATTTGTACCACAAGATGGTGCTGAGGGACCAACACAAAGTGGTACAATTCTACAAATTCCACAGCAGGGATTATTCCCAAAATATAACGCTGACAGCACAAGTGACCTTGCTAGATTTTTAGCCAAAAGTCAACTAGTAACTGGAGGACTGGAAAAATTTGATGATAAACCAGAAAGTTACCTTAGTTGGAAAACTACATTCCAGAGCACCATAACAGAACTTGGTCTTACAGCCAGTGGGGAAATGAACCTTCTCATTAAGTGGCTGGGCCCAGAGTCTTCTGAACATGCCAAGAGACTGAAAGCAGTTAACATAAAGTATCCACTTGTCGGTCTCAACATGATATGGTCGAGACTAGAAGAATGTTATGGCTCACCAGAAGCAATAGAGAACTCGTTGTTTACCAGAATACAAAACTTTCCAAAACTCTCCAGTAAAGAACCACACAAGCTTCGTGACCTGTCAGATTTATTGTGCGAACTCCAAGCTGCAAAGCTGGATGGTTATTTGCCTGGGTTAAATTACCTTGACACAGCCAGGGGAGTTCATCCAATTGTGGAGAAGCTGCCCTTCCATCTTCAAGAAAAGTGGACAATGTCAGGGTCAAAGTTTAAGGAAGACCACAACGTAAGCTTCCCCCCATTCTCATTTTTTGTTGAATTTGTGAAAGGT